GAGAGAGAGAGAGAGAGAGAGAGAGAGAGAGAGAGAGAGAGAGAGAGATGATGATGATGATGATGATGATGACCAAACGCATCCTCATGATTGGTCCTCTTGCATTACCAGCAGAACGGCAGAGGGATGGAAGCGGAGATGATGTTATCCTTGATCTGGGTTTATTCCATGTTTGTTTATATGAGGATTGCAGAAATAACCGTCTTTTTGTCTTTTTCTGGCAAAGATATCTTTGCAACGAACTTTCTTGGGACAGATATCTTTTTGGTTGCAACAATGCCTTCCTTTCATGGCAGAAATGCGTCTCTTTTTTTCCGTAAAAACCACACCCCTTTCCCCGAGTGTCTTTGTTTTGATGCTATATTTTTGTGGGGAGATGTAAAAAAGTGGGTATTTCACATAATGTCAGTACTATTCCATCCATTTCCCCCCCCAAAAAAAAATCAACAGTGGATGTGAGTGATTCCTAGGGCCTCGCTGCACTACAGTAACTCTCGAAATGCACAAAAGACAAAATTCATGGTGGTGTATCTTCCCATCTTCCAGCAGAAGATTCACTCTCGTTTTCCACGTTTCGAGAGTAGTGCAACGAGGCCTCTAGTCCTGCAGTGGGTGACACAGTATGTGAACAGAGGACTGCATTGATCTTTCTGGTTGCAACAATACCCTAGTATTCTCCTGGCAGAAAGTACCTTTTCCTTTTTGCAAAAATCAGACCCCTTTCCTACTGTAAGCGAGGGCCCTCCTCTACATCGGGATCTTCTCGGAGTTTTTTCACCGCCATGCCACACTTACCAAATACGACACTCGGGGCATATTCACACTAGCGTTTTTTTTGGCTAAATCGCAGAATCTGCTATGCTGTTTTAGTCACACTAGGGTTTTCCGACCACCAAAATCGCAAACGGGGTAGCATTTGTCAGCGGACTTGGGTGCCGTGGGGATGAGCATTTTGCTACCACCTCGAGAGGTGGGGGCGAATTCTCTTTCGGCCGTGGCAAATTCTCTTTCGCCTTTTGGGAATTCGTAAAAGAAAATTTCTGCGCTTTGTGACCATGCGAGGCACCAATTTTGCAATTGCCAGTTTTCCCACTCGAGGTGTCCTTTCTGATCTGCAACCCATGTGTGACCAGGCGGGGTATGATTTCAGCAAACATGGGAATTTCAAAGAAAATTCAGCAGATTTTGTTAGACTGCCACCGCTGTGTGAGTACGCCCTCACTACACTTAACCACCAAGCATGGACCATCTGGAGAAGATTCGGTGAGCAGGTGACTTTGGTCTGTCGCGCTTTTCTGCACTTGCTTTCAGTTCTCAGCTCCTTTTTCTCCGTAGATGGGAACTTACAAGTTGCCACAGAATTCCGCTCGATTTCCAACCGTTGATCTCCGTAGATGGGAACTTTCGTGCTGCTAAAGCATTAACAGCATTCAAAAAGTTACTACAGAATTCCGGGGCCCAAGGCCCACTTTACCCAGATTCCTAATTTCCCATCTACGGAGATCAACGGTTGGAAATCAAGAATCAGCGTAAGGGGGAAGTGGGACTTGGCTTCGAGTTTGGTGAGTGGTGCAGCCAGGCCGGATAATATCTGGAGGCCATTGATCTTCAGAAAAAGGGAAGAAGAAAAAGAAAGGGCCTCCTGTGAGAATGCAAGAGTCTTCGGTTGTCTCTCTTTTTTAATTTTGTGTTTTTTTTAGGTGTCGGACCCAGTTGGCAACTACAGAATCATTTCGTAGGTGGGACCTGACTGCCGAGGTGATGTCCTGCTAGCAAAAAGAATCGAATTTTAAGGTCTGAATGTGGACGTGTTTCTGCAGATGTGCATAAAACTCGGATTGATCTGCGTTTCGGCATCTCTGCATAAAACACGACCAGATTCAGGCACTTAATCCAAGCACATAAATCCAAAGAAAGGGTTGGCGTAAGGAAAATTGTTGGTGATGGTATGCATATCCTCTTAGCTGTTTTTTTTTGTCAACCAGGCAAAGTGAGAAAACCGTGCCGAGTTTGTAAAGGCTTCGGAAGTACCGAAGCACCGACGGCCGTGGTGTCAGCCTAGGTGTCATATTTATTTACAGGGGTAGGCCGTGGTGTCAGACCGGGTGTCATATTTACAGGGGTTGGCCGTGGTGACAGAGGGGGGAAAAGAAAAAAAAAAAGAAAAAGAAAAAAAAGGCCAACGGATACCTGTGGACCAAAATGACTCATTTTGAGTTGGCGCGTGGTTTCTTCGCCGGCGTGAGTTTTTTTTTTTTTTTTTTTTTTTCTGTATCCGGTAAACCGTAGGCAGAGAGGGAGCTCCGCTGCTCCAGTATAATTTCTTTTTCAATTTTTTTATTTTTTTTTCTTCTGTTTTGTTTTTGTTAGACTCATCTATCTGGTTTATCATCTTGGGGATGACTCTGTTCTTTCATTGGCTGCTACCTCATGTCATGCCGAGTTCTGTTCTTTTATCAGTCTTTAGTATCGTTACCTTCATGTGATGCAGTGACTAAGGGCTTGGCTCCACTACTGACCACATGCAGACAAGGTGAAATTATAGGGGTGTAGTTTTCCATGTTATGTCTGTTCCACTACCCAGTTTGCACATCTGGTGATCAGTGGAACGAGACCCTAAGCTCTGTTCGTTTATTGGTTGTTAGTAACTTGTCACCTTTCATATCTGACCCATCAAATGATGTCAATTTGCAGGTCTGTCCCGCTCTGGCAGCAGGCTGTACGATGGTTCTGAAACCTGCGGAGTTAACCCCGTTCTCCGCTCTTGCGCTTGCTGAGCTCGGATTGCGCGCTGGATTCCCGCCGGTAAGTGGGTGGAAAATTTGATTATTTTTTGGGGGGCAACTACGTCGATATTACCTGTGCTCTAATAACCATCATTATTAATTCTTCTAAGTTCTGCTTTAGTGGAAGTAGGTGCTGGTACTGGCTACGTCGATATTTCCTATGCTGTGGACGCGTGCGAACCGAACAGCTGCCCAGTTCAACTTAGGCGACTGTGTTTCTCTACCTGCCAAATTTCATACTTTGCAGGTGAGCCCTGCACCTGGCTGTCATCACAAATACTTGTCTGGTCAAACAACTATAATGTTCGGGGACAATGGACCCGCCGCTTTCGAGCAGGTGCTGCCCCCCGACCAATACACGGAGCCTCCCCATGAGTTTTTCTGTATCCTCATCCCTTTTTTTTTGCTGAGGGTTTCAACGCCCATTGGGAGGGCATGTACCCACTGTTCTGTATCCAGCTGCTTTCACGTCCTCTTTTTTTTTTTGTTTCATTTCAACCAGAAAAGAAAATACAATGGGACCCAGGCTCGACAGAACTTGGTGCGCAGTGAAATTCAGGGTTGGTAAAAACAGGATCGGAGGTAGTGGTGGTCAAGAGATTGACCGTTATCTGATCGTTACTGTGGGTTGAAGCCTTCTTGAAGTTATCAGTTAGCTGGCCGTGGTCTGGCCGTATCAGTTAGCTGGCCGTGGTCTGGCCGTGCGTAGTAGGTCTCGTCTTTATCCGCACAAGCTTATAGCGAAGAGGACTGTTACACTGTTTCTTTTTAGGGATTTTTGGCAGCAATACGCCTAACGAAATATATGTGCAAAATCGTTACCCGAGTGTGTGTGTGTGCGTGTGTCTGTGTGTCTGTGTGTGTGTGTGTGTGTGTGTGTGTCTGTGTGTGTGTGTGTGTGTGTGTGTGTGTGTGTTGCTGTGTGTGCGTGCGTGTGTGTGTGTGTGTGTGTGTGTGTGTGTGTGTGTGTGTGTGTGTGTGTGTGTGTGTGTGTGTGTGTTAACAGTAATGTTAAGGTCTTTGGACTGGGAAAATGGCTTGAAACATTCATGATCAGGGTGTGTTGTGTTCGGGGAAGACAGTAGTCATGACTCAGTGGAACATTCGGAAGGAAGGAGTGCACTGTTTTATGCTTGGAGGTACGGGCTTCATCCGGCAACGATCAAGATAATAATCACTTGGGGCGTACTCAGTTGAAGACGTTCTCAAGTGCACTTGGCCTCGATGGCGGTTCAAATACATTTTTGGAAAGATAAGTGTGAGTATGCCTAAGTGCAGAAGCGTGCATTCGGATATCAAACTGATGTAATTTGTATGTTTGTTTGTGCTAAATATCACTGTTTCAGGGTGTGCTGAACATTGTGATGGGCGATGCACCGGCGGTTGGGAAGGCTCTCAAGGACAGTCCAGCGGTGGGTTTCGGTTTTTTCAACTTTTTTGTTTGGTTCTTTTTTTTATTTTTTTGTGAAAGGGTTTCAGTTTTTCCATCACTCTTCTCCCCGGGAAAAAAAAGGGTAGAGAAAAAAAAAAAAAAAAAAACATGGAATCCTTGAGCATGTTTATATTTTAATATTTTAAATTTTTAATGGTGATAAATTTGCAGGGAAAGAAAAGTGACAGTTAGCTCAAGGTGGAAACAGTTAGCTCACTCGCACACTCCACTGCAATGTACCTTCCTTTAGGGTCCGGCTGGCAGATGGTGCGCATGGCCTGCACCTGGATGACTTCATAGGGGAAATACATTTCGACTGGACCAGATCTTTTTTTGTCATGATACATAGGAGTCAGTAGTCGAAATTAACAAGACATTCTGTGCCTGCATCGGCTTTTTGAATGTATCGCTGTCTCATTCGTAATATGACATCAGGGCGAATGGCAGATATACCGGTTCAGAGAAGTATCGTAGCAAAACTACCGGTCTGCCCGTGTATTTTGACAAATATGCCGGCAAAGTTGCAGAAATACCCTTTTTCAAAAGTTTCGTAGCAGGTTTACCGGTCGGTTCTTTCTTTTGCGTCAAATACACTCACGGTACCTCGTTTTGCAACCCTAAACCCTAAAAACCTAAACCCTAAAACCGAAAACCGAAAACCGAAAACCCTAAACCCTAAACGCTGAACACTAAACCGAAAACCTAAACCCTAAACCCTAAACCCCAAATGACATCTAGCACACACACACACAGAC